TATGAACTTTTATTTTTATTTATTTTGAGTTGGGGTCTCACTCTGTCACCCAGGTGGAGTGCAGTGGCATGATCATGACAATCATGGCTCACGACAGCCTCGACCTGCAGGGCTCAGGCGATCCTTTCACCTCGGCCTCCCGAGTAGTTGGGACTACAGGTGTGTTTCACCATGCCCAGCTTATTAAAACAATTTTTTTTTTTGAGTTGGAGTCTCACTCTGTCGCCCAGACTGGAGTGCAGTGGCCACTCCCGGCCACCGCAGCCTCGACCTGCTGGGCTCCGGCGATCCTTCCGCCTCAGCCTTCCGAGTAGCTGGAATTATAGTCATGCGCACCACGTCCGACTGATTTTTTTTTTTAATTTATTGTAGAGATGAGGTCTTGCTGCCCAGGCGGGTCTCGAACCCACGGGCTCAGGCAATCCACTCACCTCAGCCTCCCAAAGACGCGGGATTCCAGGCTGAGCTACCGAGCCCGGCTAAAATTTTTTTTGTACAGACAAGGTTTCGCTGTGTTGCCCAGGCTGGTCTCGAACAAATGGGCTCAAGCAATCTACCCATCTCAGCCTCCCAAAGGACTGGGATTACAGGCGTGAGCTACCACATCTGACAAGATTTGATATATCTATAAAATTTGACATAACTGCATACATGTGATCATATACATGTTTTAACGGGTTTTTTTCTTTTACATGTTTTCCTCCTCCATTCACATCAGTTCCCTCCACCATGGAATCCATCATATCACTCTAATATGTAATCACGTATATTTTTTATTTATTCACAATTTTACATAGACTTAATATATACTGACACCTTTAATCACATATACATACACAGATGTCTTTTTGTCATTATTATAAAGTTGTGTAGTGCCTGTCATCCCAGCTACTCAGGAGGTTGAGGCAGGAGGATTGCTTGAGCCTAGGAATTCTGTCTCTCTTTTTTTTTTTTTTCAGACAGGGTCTTACTCTTGCACTCAGGCTGGAGTGCAGTGGTGCCATCATGGCTCACTGTAACCTTGAATTCCTGGCTCATGCACTCTTCCCACCTCAATCCCCTGAGTAATTGAGACTAGAGACATGCACCGCCATCCTAGGCTAATTTTTTTTTTTTAAAGTAGTGACAGGGTCTCATTATGTTGCCTAGGCTGGTCTTGAACTCCTGTCCTCAAGCAATCCTTTCACCTCAGCCTCCCAAAGTGCCGGGATTATAGGCATGAGCCACTGCACCAGGCCATGTCTTAAAATGTTTTTTAAAAAAATAGTAGATAATTTTTCTCACTCCTATACCTGGAAGCCCCTAGCAGATCTAATTCAGTCTTTTAAATAGCCACACATTAGGAGTCAGGCATGGTGGCTCACGCCAGTAATTCCAGCACTTTGGAATGTGGCGGTGAGAGGATTGCCTGAGCCCAGGGATTCAAGACCAGCCTGGGCAACTTGGCGAGACATCTCTACAATAAATCAAAAAATTAGTCAGGCGTGGTGGTACATGCCTAGAGTTCCAGTTACTTGGAAGGCTGAGGCAAGAGGATCGCCTGAACCCAGCGGGTCAAGGCTGCGGTGGCCATGAGAATGCCACTGCACTCCAGCCTGGGCGATGGAGTGAGACTCCAACTCCAAAAATAGTGATAATAATAATTTTTTTTTTGAGTGGAAGTCTCACTCTGTCATCCAGCTTGGAGGGCAGTGACGCTCCCGGCCACCGCAGCCTCAACCTGCTGGGCTCCGGCGACCCTTCCGCCTCAGCCTTCCCAGTAGCTGGAACTACAAGTGCGCGCTACCACGCCCTGCTAGTTTTTGATTTATTGCAGAGATGAGGGCTCACCAAGTTGCCCGGGTGGATCTTGAACCCGTGGGCTCAGGCAATGCTCTCACCTCAGCCTCCCAAAGTGCTGGGATGACAGGCTGAGCCAACAATAACATTAACAACAAAAATTAGTCCACCCACTGTCTACCTTGTCCTGGCCCTCCCCTCTCACGGTCCCATCACCACCCCCATGGTGGGGAGTCCAGGCCAGGAGGCAGGAGAGGGCAGTGAGCAGGCAACGAATGTCATTCCCGGCTGAGTCTTGCCATCCCTCTCGCGGGGCGGCCCTCAGCCCCCAGTGGCAGAAATACTGACCGTGCCATTGTGAAATCATTTGCATATTGTGAAGTGCTGTGTATGGGATGGAGCGATTTGCATACAGAGAGGGGTGCGTCTTCGGGTCCCAGGGCGGCATTTCTCCCTCTGCAAAGAAACGAACCCAGGGCTGCCATTTCGGAACCCGGGAGGGGACCGGGTGTCCTGGTAGATCTATGGGCCCGGTGGGTGCCTCCGACAGGAAGCTTTCCGGGGACGCGCCGGTCCGCCTTAGGAGGAGCCCGGGGTCTGGGAAGGGCAGGCGTTAGCGAATGAGGTGGGAGCTGCGTGCCCTCAGTAGGGGGTAAAGCGAGGACCGGGACGACGGAGGGAGGTGCTCTGGGGGGCCACAGGGCCAGAGACTCAGAGTCCCTACTCAGCCACACGCCCCTTGCGCTCCCGTCCAGGCTGGTTCCCAGGGAAAGGTACACAGGAAAAAGGCCAGGCCAGATGCCCCCAGGTGCAGGCCTCAGGAGGGAGAGGCGGTCTCTGGGTCCAGGGAGCCCCGCCGCCTGTGCCCTGGGCTAAGTGGATCTGCTTCAAGGGGATGAAACGAGCCTTTGGGGAGCTCGTGCGAGCCTGGGGGGCGCAGAGCTGGTGTCCAGAACATCACGGCTGTAAGATGACCATCAACTGCTGGCGGTGCGGGTCCAAGCCAGGAGGTCAGGTCTAGCTTCCTCCGGTCCGGCCGCCATGCCCTGGACCCCAAAGGGTTACAAGGCCTGGAGACAGCGGCCTGAGGTTCCCAGTGAAAAACCAAAGCACAAAAATAATCCGATGAGTAAGAATAAAATTCCCTCTTCTGAGGTTCCCGGGCCAGGCCCCTCCCTGCGGCAGGCACTTCCCCTTTCCCCGTTCATGGAGGAGCCGGCCCGGCTGACTCAGAGCAGGAGCGCCAGCCCTGGTCCCAGCCCGACCCGGCACCACCGAG